AGTTCAAAGGTATTTACCTATATTTCCCTCAATAAAACCTGACCTGACCTGCCCTGTATCGACGTGAGTTTGCTTGACAAGTCTACGAAGACGGGCGTAATGTAAGTCTGCGGTGCTTTAACGAGACTACCAGCACCGGAGAGTAAAATCGAAATGTAACCATGTTGTGAAAATTCTTCTTGAGCTAAAATGCCAAACTTGTGTGTTCTGGTCCGCTTCGACCGACTCATACGATAGGGTAATTCAATGATACTTTGAACTTTCGTTGCCAATTATCATGGTGTCTAAAAACAACAAGGATGGGTGGATTTACTGGTAATATCTAGAAATGCGCCGTTTTCTGTTTTAACGATATGAACTACTAACTGGGGAACAGTCAAACCAATCAACTAGTAAATCTGCCTGTTGCTCAATACAGGATAAGCAAAAGCCTTCTGTAGTGTTTTTTACGAGAAAAATTTAAATATGATGTTAGCACTGAACTTTCCAGCAAAGGGACTTTCATCGGTTTCTGCAAAACTCGGCTTAATCCGCGATCTTCTGTTTTGTAGGAAGAACTTTTTCCCCAGCTGAAGCGTGACCGGCAATATACCCTGGAGGTACGTTTGGAAATGTTTCATCCACTGGTGGCTGACTGCACGCCTGGAGGTTCGACACAGTCTACGTACCCCGTGCGGATAGGTGATTGCGGCGTGAAGTTCGTACCAGCTGCTATAATTATGTCCGACTTGCAGACGGCCGAGGGCAATTTCGCCGGTGCCTGTCCGCATTTGGAGAAGCACATTGCGGAAGATCCCGGTAAGAGTGTTCTCTGTCCTCGGTATATGTGTTTATGTGTACTAACAGTTCCTGCAAACCAACAGAGCACTTAAAGTTTTAAGGCCGTTTAGATGTATATTTTCCTATGCTTCCTTAGAAGACAACAAGCAACGAATCCAACAAGCTATTGCGTCACCCAATACTGATATAAAATAACAATCGCTAGAATTTTCGAATGGGTTGTTTCGATGTTGACCATGATTTACATTCCTGAGGTAGGTAGAGTAGACATAGATACCTTCATAACGTGAAACTAGAAAAAGTTGAGCCCAAATAGTCATAAAAACTTACCAGCCACGTTCGACTCAGTTACGATTTTAACCACAAATTAACACCAAGAAGAAACAAACGCGATCTCTGGGACAAGAACTTTATGCGTCTGATATTTCGGATTCCAGCTCAAACCCATCTTCAGAGACAGTAACAGCCAAGAGTAATTCTTACACAGAGAGTTGCAGCATTTAGAGTATGCAACCGCTAAGGGAAGGGGCGTTTATTGTCGTAGGTATGCAGTTTGTATGAATTACCCTTAGCTGATGATGTTTCTGAAGATGGGTTCCAACTGGAATCCGAAACATCAGGTGGATAAAGTTCTTGTCCCAGGGATCACGTCTACTTCGTCTCAATTACTTCCTGGGACTCACAGTTCCGCTTGTATCGGCAACTGATAAACACCGTAGATTAGTTGCTTCCATGCGAAGTAGACAAGTGGCAAGGCGTAGGCGAAAAGGCCCAAGTAAAAGAAAATTTCAACCTAGTGGAATGAACGCATTTCGGCTTGGTTAACATGCTAGATGACATACTCAAAAATCATATTTGAGAGGTTGATATTTCAAGGAAAAATGTAATTGCTCCTGCACCACTAAGTAGGAGATGGATTGGATTTCCAAAGAAAGGTAAGACCTATACTATTTCCGCGCTTTCGGCGTTCCAATGAAGCGCTAGAGTGTCAGACAGATATAATTTATGTCTGCCTGAACAGCAACTGTTTAATCAATTATAACCTTATGTTGCTTAATGTGTTCAAACTGCGCAAGCTGGGTGATGTGGCTCGTTGTTTAAATAGGCGATAATATATATGCAATAGGAACTAAGAGTTTTTTGATTGTCTTTCAGTCAGTACTTCCTCATATTAACCTACACAGATGGCAATATTGGACATGTGAGTAACCCTATTTTTCGGATGAATAGCGCTAGTTTCCCATTCCTCTTCCGTCTTCCCGGAACGTAAAGAGATCTTCTACATGTATTTTTGCAACATTCTTAGCCACACAGCTTGAGAAATGAAGAGGCAACGGTCAACAAGAAGGTTAAAGCGGGTTTCCCACCCAGAGTGCAAATTGCACACCATGAGTGCTTGTTAACCTCAGGGGGTTTCTAAACTGAGGTAGAGAAATGCGTACAGTCCGTTTTACGTGTACCTAGATGATTAGTAGGTGAGTTCAAGCACAACACTGTTGGCTATTAATAGGCCTCTGCGATGGCAAAATTACCAAGCAAAATGGACAAATGCTAGTGCCATTTTACTCTGTTAATCGGACCTTCGTAAAATTAATAGTTCTCGTTTTATGAAAACAATATTTATTTTTATTTATCTATACTGCGATATCGTGTAGCGATGCTCTAATTCAGTCGCTATCGTCTCTAGGAACTGTTTTTACGATTTAAGCGAATATTGGAATCATCCAATCATCTTACAGGTCTATTAAAATCTAGTCTTCTATTATTTTTTTCCTAAGATTTTATGGGTAAATAACAAAAAAAATTAACGATTTAAAAAAAGATTCCATCTACGATCTATGGATCTATCCAACGTATGGCCCTCTAATTATTTGTTCTTAAATAGTTGGCGATAAACTGGAAAAAAGGCGGTATCGCTCACAAACTTCCAATTTAAATGAATCGTATACCTATCAATTATGTAAAAAACGTAAGCGTTAATTTCAATTTCTTTATTTCCATTGATATATACAATCAGATTTAGCAGGGGATTTGGCAGATTTGAATAATTCATTTGACTAACTTTTAAAAAACTCGGCGGTGTCAGTGGGGTTCGAACCCACGACAGGAAGACTACTACAGCCAACGCTCTAGCCAACTGAGATATGAAGTCCTCACCGGGAGCCGCGATTTTAATCACAATTGAGTCAATTTACCCGCCCAGCCTACTGCAACGTATGGAATCTACCAATTGTGATACAGTAAGCTGACTGCCCAAGAAGGATTTCCTAAGCAATCAGTCTAGAAGCAACCAGATAACTTTGTCTGAAAATCAGATGAAACTGGAAATAACGGCTAAAACCTAAAGTTAATAGTAGAAAAGTACCGAAAGAGCGATATTGTCAGCATTAAATTCAGAAAATTTGGTTATAATCACTAAGAAAATTTCCATAATTGGTTCTTTCATTCAGTCTTATCTGTGGTTGACTCTCTGACAAAACCGGCATCCATTGTGAGCTGGAGTGTTCAATTACCAGTTTACCTTCTTCTCAGAAGTGTTTATACACAAGAGCAGCCCACGTCCATTTTATCTTCCTGACGCACTTGGGTCATGCTACTTAGAATTTACCTCTGTAACGAGCAGCAAGTTCTATGGAGGCGTATGCTTTGCTTATTGCCTAACAGAAGCAGCTCAGCCTCACTAACTGAGTTGGATAACTTTGCTAAAACCTTATGATATAGTTCACAACCCTCAAGGTTATATATTCAGAATAAACATTAAATGACCTCTCAGTCTTACCAAAGACCCAGGCAGAAGACTCATACTCGAGCTTCCATTACACCTTGAACTTTTATGTATGATCATATTAAGTTTGCGAGATCATATGAGGGTCTTAACGAACCAATTATTTTTGTTTAGACGACGCCGAGGCCTTAATTCGGTTAGTGAAAACCTATCGTCGGATGGGCCAGCTTTCAAAAGTCTCTGTTATTCTTGATAAACTGGACAAAGTAATTCCAGCCAGTCAGACCAGCTCCGGTCACAAATTTGCCAGGGGACTTTATCATTGGTGAGTTATAATAAAATTGTCAGTCTGTTGCTCCGGACACCTAAATCCTCCTCTAGTACGCCGTAGACCCTGAAGAGAGGCTTTCGGTTGATTCAAGGTTACTAGTGTAATTTAAATTTCTTGCACTTTGAATCGGTATATTCAAACTTACTGATCCTTTCACAGTTAAAAAATAGGTTAAGGACAAACGTAAGCATGATACTCACCGGAGCTTGCAGAAAGCATGCTCTGGAAACAATGGCAACTTAAAAATATGCAATTTTCTCACTGATTTCTAGTACTCTGCAGGAAATTATGTCTTCGAGTACTCCTCTCGTAGAAGATTATGCCTTCTTAAATTTTTATACTTGAAGAAAATATATCTTTCAGTTTTAAAAGTGTATAAATTCTTGAATCACTTGAAACCCTGCACTTGAATGCAAGGTTTCCAAACTACATACCGCATACATTCTGTCTAAGGAAAAGTATACATTTCCATACAGTATGAGGAATAAGGCACATAGATTTCATAAAAGTATGCAATGCACACTCATTGTCTCTGAAGATGGTCTCTTGTACGAGACCGAAAGCTCAACCAATTAAAAGTGTTGTTCCGGTGATCGCGCCTTCATCTTTTTTACAACAGTATATTCTGTTATCAGTTTACAGGTAAACACTGTCTAAATCAGAAACTAATTTAAGAGGCAGGACATAAGTGCTTCCACTAATTTAAATGTCAATACTTGTCAACTGAGGTCCAAAGCAAACCAACCAAAAATACTCTGAACCATAAAGGCAGTAAATTCCATCCGCAGCAAGTTTGACATTAACTATTACATGACCTTTCACGCCAGCTAGTGCGACACCCCGGATGATGTCGACATTGATTGAAAACCGACATCTAACTACAGGGTTATGTGAGAAGTGTTACCAAGGAACACGAACGATTAGCGTGTCCAGTTCGTTACTGCTAACTTATGAATTAGCTGTGACTTTAGTTCTGTCAAAGTTGATCTTCAGATCCAGCCTTCTACTTCCCTGACTTTTAGGTATGTCGGTGACAGCAACAGCGCACTCAAACACTTTAACTTAGCCCGCCTGGATGCGACGTACATGGAAGAGGCAACATCCAACATGGTGGAGATCTGCCTAAATCCAAACAACCGGGTGATTGGCAGTCTGATTTTCGACACGGAACGGCGAATACCGTCGACGGACGTACAGCGCGCTGTCGAAGCTGGCAGTGAGCGCACCACCAGCGGTTACGGCGACAATTCGGGCATGGACGCCTCG